TAGATTCACCTACTCATCTCAGTGCCCTAGCCACTGACCATGCCAGCCCATGCCCTCTCCTGCTTCAAGGATGTTCCTGGAGGACACTGATAGTATCTATCCAGGTGTCTTGGTCCAGTAAGCAACAAAGGCTGGCCTGGAATTCCTGTTATAACAAACTGCACTTCAGGGGACCTGAGGTTCACCTGCTCCAATATCATGCTGCTTTGTCAAGGATGCCAAGGTGAGTAGGGGACCCTATGGCAAGTGGCCAGAGAATTCAACAGCAAGAAATACCATATGAAGGACCAAGCAGGCCCTCTGTCCCTGTAACCATAATCTCAGCATGTGTGCAAACCTGGTCTTCCATTTAGGAGACTCACATCAGCATGTGCCCAGTTTTATGATAATCCTACGGCAGAAGTTAAACAGCCTAACCCACAGGCACCCAAGTTGGCCTGATGAGTCCAGCACCCTTCCCACCATATCAGCAGGTCTCCATGTCATCTGGAGACACTGAGTCTGAGACAGAGACTCAGGGAAAAGGAAAACAAAAAAGAGCTGTGAAGTAGTCTGATCCACTGGCTCAACAGGAGGCTTGGCCTGGAGACACTAAATATATAGACACCGAGGCAGGAAGAAAACCCCAGAATACTCTAGTTCTTTTTCTTTAATTTAAACATGAGGAAATTGAGCCCTAGACGGGCAATAGAGCACAGAAGAGGCCAAGCCCAGAACATAAGAGATGTCCCAAGGAAGATGGACAAGAAATAGGACTGAACTATCAGCATGACCGAGAAAGGAAGCATCAGCCCTATCCAGATCCCTCCTAGTCAGAGTTGGTCACCAGTGGTCCTTGGTAGGGTGGGACCTGAATGATGTATGACACTCACTATGCATGATAAGCAGGTCACAGTGAATCCTGGCATCCCAGAGTTCAGGATTAATGCAGAACCCAGGTTGCTTATAGGAACCATCCAGCTGAGACTCAATTGCCTGCCATATCATTTCCTTGCTGGCTATCTTGCCTTTGCCTGGCAACCTTGAGCAGGAAGGTATCCCCTCTCTAGGAATAAGCAACTTACTGCTTTAATGACAACTTCATATTTAATCAATGGACTGAAAAAATATCTCTAAAATAATGACTTTTTTGAGCTTCAGTTTCCCCACCTACAAAAAGAAGTGCTTCAATCCAGTCCCTAGCTTTCCAACTAGGTTCCACAGCACTGTAGGGTTTTAAGGAAGTACCTCTGGAGCTACTGCTGGAGAAAGAGGAGATTGGGTGGAAGGTGAGGCCCAGGACAATTGAGTTCTGAGGTTCATGAAGAACAGAACACCCATCTTGGAGCCAGAACAGAATTCTTGTAGGTGACACAGTCTGTGGAGAAGGTAAGCTAAAACAGAGAAAGGGGGTAGGAAAAGCCTCTGAGAAAACAGGCAAACTTCTCCCTCTGCCCTGCTTTTCAGCCATAGCCCTGGAGATGGGCCCAGTTCATGTACCTGCCACATGGAGCCAAGGGACACAGTTAATCAGGGTCCAAGCTGGCAGCGCTGGGGAATTTGCAAACCAAGCTGCAGTGTACCAGGGCTGGACAGGTGCTGTATACCAGGAAGTCAGCCCCACAACTAACTACCTGGGTTGCCTTAAGCTAATTACTAAACTTCTCTGAGCTTTGGTTTCTCTGTTGGTAAAAGGGATCTATGCTTGAAAGGATGTAGGATGGTGAGGATCCAAGGAGAATTCACATCAAGTGCTGTAAATAACGACTAGAAAACTAGGCAGCTGCCTCTAATGTCTGTTATTATCACGGGCCCACCATTCCATGCACAGGGAAAACCAGAGGCACAGAATGCACTATGTGATGGTCACACAGCATTAGTAATCAAAAGCAACAGGATGCACTTATTGGCTGCTTGCCATGAAGCTCCTGCTGTGCAGGTAGAAACTGAGACCTCTGGGTCGCTGGGTGACAAGTGGCTGTTCCAGATCTGCTTGACTCTAGCCTGGGCTCTTCCTCCATGGGCCTGCCATCCAGGCACACAGAGGGACAGAAGATGCTGCTCTGGCCCTAGAAGTCACATGCATACATACATATAAAACATCACATAATCTCCAAAAGGGTCACGCTGAAAGCTTAAAACTAAATTTTTCTGTGCCACCCCGGCTCTGCAGTCATCCTCTCTCTTGCCCACCCTCCCTACCCCTGTCCTCAGTGCACTTTGGTCCACTTGGCCAGTAGCTCCCTTCCTGGAGCACTGGCGCTGACAGCTCCCCCTGGCCTTTGTCCACCCCACTACCAATCATTGCAGTGACAGCAAGCTCAAAGGAACCTGAGTCACAGGGAGCTGCAGAAAGAGCACCACAGCTAGAAAACATCGCTTTTAATCATCTACACTCTTAAAAACAAAAAATGTTAGTCAACTGGGTCACAACCCCCAAACGAGGAAACAAACACACAGAGCAATATCAGAGGGGGACAAATGAGCTGCTAAGTCCAAGAGACTGCACCATCAACTTCCACTTGTGTGACAAGGGGAAGGGGTGATTCCTTTTCCCTTGCTTAGAGAACTGGACAACATCTCCTCTACAGGAACATTTCCAAGGTCAGTAAGCATGGGTACCAAAGTGCCCAGCATGAAGCCTGGTACCTGCAGGGGCTCCAGCCTTGGGTCCTTCCAGCCATTTCTTCACATCTGGGATACTTAGCATCCAACACAAAATTCTACCTTCCTCATCATCCCACCCCAAAGTCTTCTCTGCAAAGCACAGCCACACTTGGCATCCTGCCACTAACTCACTGTGTGTCCTTGAGGCAAGCAAGTCTCTTCCTCCCTAGACTCAGCTTCCCCATCTATAAAATGAGGCTGTTGTGTTCAGAAGCTGTAGAGGAGCCCTTTCTGCACTGACATTCTGAATGTACCAGTGTCCCTAGGTCAGTCTGGTAATTGCAACTCCTTCAAGCCCTGGCCAAAGCTGGTGAATTTGAGACTGGGTGGACTGCAGGAAAGGGCAGGCCCTCAGTTTCCCACCATTACCAGCTAGAGAGGTGGAGCAGGGCCCAGTCTGCCGGAGGTGATGGGGCAGGGCAGAGGCTCAGGGTCCCATAGGGCCTGGGCACACCCTGTGGTGAAGACCCCACCACTGAGGCTGCTTTGCTGAGGGATTAAAGATGGGAGTGAGCACGAGGTTGGGCCCCTTAGAAGCCTGGCCTAAGTCCCTCTAGTCAAGCTTTCTCTGCCCTACCCTTTTCCAAGTGGCCAAGTGCTCTGAAGGCCGCATGATCACACTCCATGAACAGGAGGAGCAGGAGGCAGAGATCTAGAGAAAGGGCCTGGACTGGAACCTGGATCAGTCTCCATAGCCCTAGGAATTAACGCTCAGCAAGGTTCCAGCACACACTAAGTGCTCACAACCTGTCACTCCCTTTCCCTTTTCCTAATTCCTTCAAGAGGAAGCACACAAACACGTGAACATCAAATAAACAGTAAGAAGACCATGGAAACACATTTGCATCCGGAATTCCCAGACACACAGTGCACTAATTCAAGGGGCCTCAAAAGCTAGAGAAGCTCCAAGTCCATTCCTGGTCACTTTTTCATATGCTGTGGCACTGAGTGGCTCTTATTCCCGCCTTGAATGGGGTCAGGGGAACTATTGCAGCTCCTGAGTGAGGAGGACCATGAAGGGGCTTCTCTGCCTGTAACCTTTCCACCCCCATGGAGAGGCTGTGCTCAAGATGGCTGACAACTGTGCACTCCTTAAAGACACCCAAGCATTTTCCTGCAGATGGCTGTACATCTAGCTACATCTTCAGGGACCCACACAATTGCTTTGACAAAGTTCTGTCATCCAAGCCCAAGAGAAAACAGCCAAGAGAAAGCCTATGTTTCCTATAAAGCTGCCCTAAGAACCAGATAAGCCGCTGCCAGCCTCAAGACAAAGATTTCTGGGTACATGGCCAAGGATACTTTTGTCCCTACTAATGTTTGGTTCTGTCCCTTTTTACTAGTCAATGAAAAGGTGACCCGGCCTGATTTCTCCTTTTACCTTGGCTGCTAGGAAGCTCCAAGTAAAGTTTTTATTTTATTTTTGTGGGGTTAATTTTTGGGTACTGGGAATCAAACTCAGGACCTTGTGCTTGCCAGGCAGGCACTGCACCAGTTTTTTGTGTTTGTACATCCCTGGCCTATTTTTGTGCTTTTTGAGATAGGGTCTCACTACGTAGCCCAGGCTGAGCAATCCTCCTGCCTCAGCCTCCCGAGTACTGGGATTACAGGCATGTGCCATCATGCCTGGCTTCCAAGTAAAGTTTTATGTCTTACATGTTGTATTTTCAGCCAGAAACTTCCCTAGAACATTTCCTTTTCCTTTCCATTACTTTCTGGGCACTATCTTTGGTTAACTGTACATGGTACCCTTATACTTGTGCCCTGCCAGTTTTTTCCTGATATAGGTAAAATGTACAGTGGTAACTATGGGGAAGCTTTAACATAGCACTGCCCCGCAACAACCACCTTACTGGAAAGCATAGCCTGCCCTTACAGGGGCCACTGGGGACACCTGGGAAAGGCCCTGCTCCTTCACCTCCTCTCCTCCTGAGCTAGGAGCCTCTAGTGCTAGGCTTAAATGTGGCTGGTCCCCACAAAACTCCTGCTGGGCTCATTAATTCCTGCAGCAGCATTAGGGGGTGGAGTTCAGTGGGTGCTGCACTTGTGAATAGACTAATGACTTTTCGTGGAACTCCTGATTCTGTGGGGCTGGATTAGTAACCACAGAGTGGACTGTTATAAAGCAAGGTCACCCCTCTTCTGTGTACCTGCTTGCCCTCCTGCTTTTCTTCCCCTTGCTGTGTTAAGACACAACCTGAGGCCCTGGCCAGATGTGGCTAGCTCATCTTGAATGTCTCAGCCTTTAGAATCCTAAACTAAATAACCCCTCTCTCTTTATAAATCTTTCAGTATCAAATATTCTGTTAGGGCAACAAAATGAACTGAAAAACACTGTCAGCTGCTCCACTTACCTGTCATGATCCTTTGAGCCTCATAGGGTTCCATGTAGCCGGTGCTCTCCCCCTTTCCTGCTTTGCTCTTGAGGTCATTCTTGGCATCAAAGGGATCAGAGTAGTCATCGGCTATGGTCACCTGCAGGTAGCAAGAGGGTGGAATGTGAGGCCACCTTTGGTTTTTATGTTTCACTTTTGTTCACAGCCAGGCTTTGTTTCACTTAACAATAATCCTGCCTCAGGTGGAGGAGCAAGGAGGGAAGAGGACAGAGGAATAGGAGCTGGTGCCCCCCACTGGCAGTGCTCTGACTTAAGGGCCCTTGCATCTGTGCACATGGCCTGGCTGGCTCCACGCTCGGAGTGGTGAGACAGGGGGGCATCTGGGCCGAGGGAACCGCAGGCACACAGCGAAGAGGTTCGAACCTGGAGGGTGTATTTTGGGAATGTGAGTTACTCAGTGTAGTGCGACAGAAACGGAGGAAATGCTAGAAATGAGAGTTCACCAGGCCTAGAAATGCTGACGTGCCCCTGGTGCTGGCTGGGGCACACAGGAGCTCATCCAGAGATGATTATGTTCAGCGTTCCGTTTTCCCCATAGCTGGAACACAACCAAGCCTTGGGTCACTAGACAACAATTTGGTGAGATCAACACACTATAAAGACTATGGCCCCAGACAGGCCAAGTGGAAACACAGAAGCAGCTCAGGGGTTGACAGATGGATGCCAGGGCCAGAAAAGGCCTTATGGCAACAGACCCAAATGAAGATTCCTTTCTCAACACTCAGGTACTGAAGACCAGAGAGGTGCCAGATCTTCTTCTTGGCCCTTTCTGGTGTCCTCACCGGGGGGGGGGGGGGGGTGTGCTGGAGCCCAGCCCAACCCTCTCCCCAGAGAGGTTTCACTAAGGACAGAGGAAGATGAGTCACCTGGGAAGGTAGGAGGGGGAGGGGACTCCCAGGAGAATGGGTGTATCTAGGGTTCTACGCAAAGTCCTAAGTCTTCCTAGAGCCTTTGGGGGGAACACAGGCACTTTCCTCCCATTTCCAAATCTCTAACCTTTATGAGAGCACACTCATCAAAAGCAAAGGGCAGGAACACACCCAACTGCGCCCCTGCCACACAACAGCTTCACCACAGGCTCGCACAATAACTGCCCCTTCGCCCTCTGATCATGCATCTAACAAAGGGCAAGTGCTCGGCATCTGCCTTTCTGCCAGGGCCACCCAGCTCCTCTCCTGGGAAGGGGGGTAGGTTAACATTTCCCTCCACTCTTGGGGTTATATGAATTGTTATTTAAATTGTGGGCTTAATTAGAAACCACAGGAGCCTCCCTCTATCCCAGCTCCTGGAATGTAAGGCATTTGTAGGGCCTGTAAACCCTGGGGAAGGGAAAATCTCTCTTTGTCTGCCTGGAGAATGGCAGCTCACAGCAGCAGCCCGGGCAGGGGCCACAAACGACTGCAAACTGGCCGGAAAGTGATGCCCACTGAGGGACAGCAGGCAGCAGCTCTGTCCCTGGTCTGAAGTAAGTGTGGCACCCAGTGATCCCTGCATCTCATACAGGAGCATGCTCCCCAGGGAAGACCCAAGCCTACAGCACCCAGCATGGGAATATAAATGGCTGCCTCCTCCCCCACAGGGCTGTGGGTCAGGCTCCCGGGTCCCAGCGGGTGCTTCCAAATGCTGACATTATAATCGTAGCCTTTCTAGAGACTCAAGGAGCTCAAATGACACTAAGCCCGGGAAAGAAAGGGGTGGGAGAGAGCCTGGCCTGGTGATGTCTTTCATTTGATATTTCTACTCTACCATTTGCAAAACACATTAGGGAGAAAATTATACATGTGAAGCACCATCAAACAGAATGGTTCAGATCAGGGGCAGGGTTTTGAAATCAAGGGACCAGAAGTCCAAATGGAGAAAATGATATAGCTGTGAGATGTAGATGACATCTGATCTTAAGTTTCTTGACCCAGACTTCCTCACTGTTTCCAACATGAACATCCTACATCTAGTCTGCAATAAGGAAGAGAAGTATTTCCCCAAGAAAACCGAATGACATTGGGAGATTCACTGGGAATGAGGGATGTGTTTGTGGGGCGGGAGGGGGGGGGGAGTTGCAGTCACCATAGTAACCTAGAAATCAGCATTCTGGCTCCTCATAGAAGTGTTCTGTAATTTACAAACATAGAAGCTTGCAGGATATAAACCAAATCTTTGTTCACCTTGGGACAGGAGCTTCGGGAGGCCTGTGATTTAGCAGGCGCTATCTATATTTTCTAATTAAAATGAGATCTGAGCTCAGGCTGTCCTGAGCCTCCAGCTGCCTCCCCTGCTTACTTCCATTTCAATAAGAATTTACAAATCCTAAAACCAGGAAAAGCTCCTGCTCTATGCTGACATATGGTTCCAGTTATACCTGCTGACAGTTGAAAATCCTTCCGTTTAAAAAAAAGTTTAGAATTCTGTTCATTTAAGCAGCAAATTGGAAGGTTCCTAAAATGTACATTTAATCAATTTGCTTTTCAACTTCAAAGTGAGATTGGTGGAGGGAAGGGACTTGGAAGTTTGAGTAACCCGAAACTTGGCAAACACTACACTCAACTGTCCAACCTTACGCAAAAATCATGTCCTAGTAGGGAGTAAAAATTTAACCAAGTGTTAGTAGAGTTGAGTAGGCAGTCAGCCAGGGCACCATGTGCAGTATCACAGGCCCCAGCCATAAGGACTGGGCAGTGTAACTACTGTCCAGGCCGCCTGGTATCACCATAAATCAAGGCAGCCGGGCAGGAGGTTTGCTTGAAGGCTGCCTCTGAGTTTCCCAGATACAGGCATGGATTCCTGCTGGAATTGCTTTTACTTTGCTTTAAAATGCTCCAGTTGCAGGCCAAGTCCTATAAATCTAACCAAAAGGCAGCCAGCCAGGACTTCTCTGTAAGCCAGGTCACCTGGGTGCACACAAAACTTTTCTTGAATTTTGGGCTGGATTACAAAGAACTAATAGTGGATTGGATTTCTAGAATATAGCTACTTGCAGCCATGGTGGGCAGAGGCAGAACTGAGGTGGAACCCAGGCCACTAATCCCACCTTCCTAAGGAGCTGAGCAGACGCAACAGGACAGGGAATAAGGGGGCTGCCTCTTGCTTTACTGTGTCAGCTTCCTATGATAGACTCTAAACCCAGGCAAACACCTTTTCCTCCTTTCAAACAAAACTGTAGAGCCCAGGTCAGCCCAAATCCCTAGAAAAACTTTCACAGACTAATGAAGCAGTGAGGCTGACAATTGTGGAGAGACCAGCTCTAGCCTCCCCTTGTTTTAAACATGGCCTCCTGTACCCAGAAGGACAGGGCCTTGTCACAGTTGCCCAGCAAGCCAGCCGTACAGCCTCAGGGCCAGCCCACACCTCCTGACTCCCACACTAGGGATCTAGACTCCAGTACATCCACTGCCTCCCCACAATAGCTCTCTGGGCTGGCTGCAGACTAACAGTTGCTCTCTATGCCTTCTTTCTGTTTTATACATGCTGTTAGGAGGAATTTGGTCCCTTCCAGCAGTTTGAGCCCTGGTTGTTTTTATCTGAGGGATTAGCTATGCGATAGGAAGTAGTCTTCCTGTTCACCCACAAAGGGAAGTGCTAAAGGAAGGTGGGTGTTACCACTTGGCCATATTTGCATTTAGCCTGGTAAGAGTTTTAGTTGCTTTTATGAGATAGCTGTCACTCTCATGGAGAACTGGGGCCTCTTCAAGGTTCTTGGTGGTCATGTATGTGGGTAGAGTCACTTTGATAAGTAACTTTTGGCAGGGTCCATTAAAACCCCCAAATGCATATATTTTGATCCAGCAATTTCACTTCTCAGTATTTATTCCCAAATATGCACAAAGATGCTCACTGAATCAAGCAATAATGGGAAATTGCAACACCATCACTATATCCATCAATGGGGAGCTGCTAAATAAAACATTTTACTTTCATCTTATGGAATACTTTGCAGCAAGTTAAACAATGTGCTAACTACACGTGCTGACATAGTTCTCCAAGATGCTGTTTTGAATAAAAAGAAAGTAACTGTAGGATAATAAATACAACATGACATTTATTTATGAAAAGTAAAACAAAAATCTGTATCTCTAATTTGAAGAAAAGGAGTAGAAGCACACCCCAAACTAAATCCTTCTTCAGGGAGGAGAGCAAGACTGGAGTTGGGGGAGATTCAAAGGAGGCTTGTTGGACTGCAATGTCAAAAAATTGTGCAAACAAGGAGAATCTATTCATGTATTAATGCAAAACTAAACATGTTGAAAAGCACTCCTCCTCCATAGGCTATTTCTGGTACAGTAGATAGCCTATTCCCCAAACTTGCCTGAAGACAGGAATGGCCTGGAAGACTTGTTAAGACAGTAAGACTCCTGGCCCCCATAACCTGTGTATTTAACTAGCAACCCTGGTGATTCTTATCAAAAAGTTTGAGAAGCAAAAGGCTAGTGCCAGCCCCTTCCCCCACCAGTCTGAAGACAAGTATCCAGACATTACTCTGGAATTTCACTTTTCCCAGCTACTTACTTCTCAGACCTGCTCATTAAAGTCAAACAAAAGTTAAAAGTCAAGCAAGAAGTCAAGTTAACTGCAGCTTTCCTGCCTTCTGCCTGGGGGTCAATGGGAGTGAGAGCTGACCCACACACCTTCATCCTCTCCAGGATCTCTCAGGTGTGGAGGGAAGGGCTCCCTCCTAAGCAACCCTGAAGGCTGGCCCTGGATTGAGCAATGCAGCCTCTGCAGGCAGAGAGCAGAGGGGAGCAGGCGGCTAACAATGATCCCAGTCCTGAGAACCATAAGGGCTCCAGACATTTTGGATTACATCCGCTTGGCTTTCAGGAAACCCCTCTAGGACAATCTCCCAGCTTCTGGGAGGGAGTGGTAGTGCCAAGAGAAACCACTGCAGAATGGCAAAGGAGGTTCCTGCTAACACGGGGCCCTTGAATCCATTAAAAAAGAAGGGCCAGAGAGAGCAGCTGCCACCTTCCAGGAGTGAGTGATAAACGCTGTCCCCATCACTGTCTACCATAAGCCATATAGTCACCTCACGGTATAATGCTGTCTGTGGGAACTGGCTACCCTGGCTTAGCCACAGGCTTCCTGTGC